AACCCAAGAATGGACTAACAGTTACCAAAGGGAAAGGGACCTGGGAGGATGGGTGGGAAGGGAGGGACAAGGGGGGGAAGGGGGGCACGGGGAGGGCTGCACAACACAGAGAAGACAGGTAGTGATTCTACAAAATCTTACTGTGCTGATGGACGGTGACTGTAATCGGGTTTGTCAGGGGGACTTGGGGTAGGGGGGAGTTCTTCAAAAAAGTAAAAATACATAAAATAAATTAATTAATTAATTAATAAAATAATAAAACATCAAAAGAAATGAGAGGGCAGAAATTATTACTGTTCCTCTTCTATGCATCTAGATTCCTGAATATGCAAGGTGAGCTGTAAACAAACAAATGTTCAAAAAAGAAACTAAAATATACCAAAGAAAGCAAGCCGGCCATTTGACAGAAGCCAGTACGTTCTGATCTCAGTGGGCGCAGGCCTTGTGGGGGGCAGCGGTGCTCCTCCTGGGTCAGCGGGACCCCCTGGAGAGGAGCTGGTGATCCTCCCGCTGACCCTGCGTCGGTAGCAGGGCCGCAGCGCCCCGCGTGTTAGATCCAGTCTGGCAGACGATCCTGTGACAAACGGCCTTCTATTGACTGTCTCTTTTTTTTTTTAATGCTCCATTTACACCCCACAGTCTCTCTGGGAAAGAGAGGACCTCATAGAGCTGAAACAGGAAAAAACCCTCTGTGGGAGAGCACGGAGGCATTTTCTGTCTGGCCTTCCAAACAAGCTAAGTGGTGTGTTCTTCATCATCCAGGAGGGTCTGTCTCCGGGCTGTGCCCCCCTGGATCCGTGTGCGAACTCTGCCTGAGCAGAAAATAAGGAGAGACGGGGTGCAAGGAGGTCCGCCTTCACCTGGCGCAGCCCACGGCGTCGGCCTCCTTCCCCATGATCCAGCCGCCCTCGCCTGCTCCCTCCTAAGGAGCTTCATTCTTGCCAAAGCCTGGACACTGTTCTCCACAAATCATCCTCTCGCGCCTCGGCAGGTCAAGACGTGTTGCTTAAGGGAAAGGACTTCAGCACAGTAACTTCATAGCTTTTTCCACAAGCCAGAGAACTTTCTCTACCCGAAAACTCAGGCATTAGCTGATGACTGGCACAGTGAAACGGAACATCTCCTCGGGCCGGCTGACTTGCCGTCCCTCATGTTAAGTGTAGGCATTATGCTGCTCCAGGCTCTCAGACCCCGTGTCCTTTTTTGCCTTTTAAAAATGCAAACCAACAGAAAGGAGTGGAAGAAAGGTCAGTGAACCCTGAGGTGCACACTCAGCCTCCTGGTCTTGGAGGTTCTGCCGGGCCAACATTACTGTGCACACCTCCCCGGTGGCCTGTGTGTAAAGCCTTGGGCACAGAAGGAAGGATCTGGATGTGTTAGAAGAGGGAACAGGGGGTGTTATAGGGCACGGTTACAGTACTTCACAAGTCCGTGTGGGCATTTCACTGGGAAAGCCCCGTTTGCTTTCACTGTATCATTTCACTTACAAACAGAACTTTTGGTCTGAAAGCCCAGGAAGATTATTCGGCGGCAGCAGGGTGGTAACCAGGGTGTTGATGGTACATATTATATGCGTTGGTGGCTCCAGCAGCCCTGACTGTCCGATTCCCGGGTGCCCCGGCCTGCACAGCTCCCTCGCCAGGGCTGCAGCTTGAGATCTGCTCTTCGTAGCAGCAGCTCTATCACGAAGCCTCAGCCCAAGGTGCCTGGGTGGCCTCTCTGCACACAGGGCAAACCCGTGCCCCTAGCGGGCTCCTCTCCGTTTGGGTCTTCATGTCACCACGGTGAGTCGCCACAGATGAAAAGACATCCAGCAACTCACCTACCAGCGTTTATTCCTTCTAAGTCCCACAGATCCTGGGGCAGGCTGAGACAGGAATTTAAAAAACACACAAGTGCGAAAGCCAGTCCCTATTTGCAAAGTAATTTTAATGTATTTTGGCTTCAGTTTTTTTTTAATATAAATGAACAGAAGGAATCAAAAAGAAGATGAAATGTATTAAAAATCCAATACTTGCCATTTTCCACAGGACTCACTATTGACAGCTTGTTTTCCTGTGTGCAGAGCCTTGGACAGAGAAGGAAGGATCTGGATGAAATATCAGGAATGGCACGAAGCCCTGCTGAAGGGCTTCTGAGTCTGAGACGCGTCCCCTGGACGCCTGTGGGCGACTCCTCGGTGTGGGCAGTGGACTCGCGGACTCACGGTGGCAGGACGGGCCCCTGAGGCACTCGCAGAGCATCTGCAAGTGAACCTCCCAGTGGGGACGTCGCTGCCGGGCCATGCGCACGCCAGGCAGACCGCACAACCTCCGCGTGGCCCAGCACCTTTCCTTCCCCTGCGAAGGCTCCAGGGCTTACCTTAGAAAACACAGCTCTATTCACACTGACGGTGTTTTAAATAACAAAGGGAGTCAGAAAACAATCTTTACAAGCTTTAGGTGTATTTGATGTCTGATTTTGGGCAGGCCGCAGCCACCTTTACCGACCTAGTAAATGGCAACTGCTCAGCCTGGGTCCTCGAAACTCGAACCACCAGCAGTTTTGTTTTCTCTGTAAACAAACACAGTCGAATCAAATTGCTTCTGAAAGACAGGACGCCCTGAACTGGCCTCTAAAGCCACCATGCACCCCCACACCAACAGCGTTGTGCCAGATGCTGAAATTTCGCGACCTTTCTCATTTAACAGCGGCGGGGCATCATCGGTCCCGGATGAAATGCTGCCGTCTCCACTTGCCTGGAGGAGGAAGCTGTGGTTGCCACAGGTTGAGTGATCTGAGCCGCACTGTTAGGAAGTGAGACTTGGGATTAAAAGCAGGTCAGCTTGCCTTCGAAGCCCATACTTCCTGCTGTCCAGCCTTGTCCCCCACACCTAAACTCCAGGCAGCCGGCAACCCAGGGATGAAAGGTGGCAGAGGCGTCAGGTCTGAGCTCACATTCGTCCCCGTGAGCAGCCCCACAAAACCTGCCCCAGCTTCTTAATCAGAGGATGTCTCAACATCCCCCAACACAGGACATGCTGCTCACACATCCACCTTGAAACAGCGGTGTGCAAGTGGCTCCACACCAGTGGAAGACACAGCGAGGTGGGAGTAGGAACATGAGGGCCTGCACCGCCAGTTTACGGCAGAGATAGCCGAGTGGCGTAGGGAAAAATCACCAGCCTGCTGGTACTCAGAGGCACCGAGACTGAAAGGTCATTTTTACCTATCATACTAGTAAATAACTGTGTAACTGGGCTAGCCTTGTCTCAGGATCTTTTAATTTACTATTTAATTTAATAAAGCCCTTGTGGGTGGGTTTTGCGTCATCCTTGCTTTATGAATTGAGAAATAAAGTTTCAGGAAGTTAAGTGATTTGCCCAAGGTCAGGTAACTAACTGGTAAGCCCGCAGCAGACTTGAGCCTCTGCCACTGAGAGTAAGAGGGCCGAGCAGGGGCGCCGTGCGCTCACGTTGGAAGTGTGACCTGGTTCGGCGGCACAAGTGTGTGTGCTCTGACCTGTCATTCTACTCAATTTATCCTAGAGAAAAAGCCATGTAAATGTAGAGATATGCCTGTTAGGATATTTTTAATAGCATCATTTATAACAGCAAAAAATTGATGATAATTTAAATACCTAGCAATGGGGAAATTGTGTACATGAATTACGCCCATTTATGTGCAGGAAGCACTATGCTGCCATCGGGAATGATGCACCCAGATACCTGGTGATGTGGTATGTGAGATTCACACGTATTATTATAATAGGAGATGAGAAATATACAACAATATAGTTGTTAAAATAGGAGATGAGAAATATACAACAATATAGTATCTTGTTTAGCATACATAAGGGAAGTGTGTGCAAGGAGAACAATGTCTGGAAGTTTATATACCAAAACATCGTCAGTGGCTTTTTTTTAAATGCAGTTGAACAGTATTTGTCGAATACTTCCTACAGCTCTTGTGTTTACTCGTTGGTGAAGTCGAGCGTTTTCCTAACCTATCCAACAGCGTTAACTAGAGAAAGGAGCGCCTGCCAGAGGTGTCGGCGGAAGGAAGCAAGGGGCAGATCTGAATGCAGTCAGACCCCCGTGGTTAGCAGCGCACCCCCAGAGGCCATGCGTCCTTGAGGTTTGCGGTGACACTGTCTCCTTTCTTCCCAGGTGCTGTTGAGCCAGGTGCACCGGCTGAGAGCCCTGGATCTGCTGGGAAGATTTTTGGACCTGGGCCCCTGGGCGGTGAGCCTGGTGCGTGCTGTCTCGAGTGACCCGGGGCCTGCTTACCCGGAATGACGGTAGCATTTGCGGGTGACTGCGGGGCCGGCCAGTAAGCCCCTGAGGCCCAAAAAACGTGTTGCGTGGCCTCGTTCCACAGCGCTTGGGGGTCTGTTTTGCGTTCTTCCCATCCGTGAGGCCTCACCTCCACAGGACAGGAGGCGTTGCCAGCCTGTGGCCGGTTAGGGAGCGGCCCGCCTCTGGCCCGTCCATGCCACACAGGGTGCCCTTTCTCCCAGGGGCAGCCTCTGAGCCTTCGTTCACTGTCTTTTCACCAATTTTAGGCACAATTCTGAAATACTTTTCAAGTTACTCATTCTATGGAAGAGTAGAAACTGCTGTTAAACAAAAACAACTAACAAAATCAATCAAAAAGTCTGTTTTTTCAACAAATCACAGAAAAGGATCTTGAGAGGGAATCTGTAGATTAAAGGAGACTCAGTGGACCATCACCAACTGGAATATTCGGTTCTGCTTTCAAATAAAAGCTTGACAGTTCAAGTTTGAAAAATTAGCATTCATAAAACAATTATATATTTTACATGCATATTTTGTAATTAAAGGGTAATTCATTTTCTAGGTGCATAATGGTATGCGGTCATGTTTTTACAAAAGAGACCCCATTTTTTAGATGAGTATAGAATGTCCACAGATGAAATTATGTGAGGTGTGGAAACTGCCCCAGTGTAGCAGGACAGGACGAGTGGGCAGGGGGCATAGAGCGACGTCTGTTTGGGCCGATGCCATCGAGGCCCCTGGGGAGCTTTGGGAGCTCAGCACATCGTCTCATCTCCCTGCGTGTGTTTTAAACTTTTTCATTTATAATGTCCACTGAGAGTGACACGCGGCAGCTCAAGGCCGAAGGGGAGGAGGGAAAACCCAGGCACGAGGCAGAGCGAGTCCGCGCGCATCACCAGACTGCTGCCCGCCTGGGCGCCTGGCACTGCAGGTGGCCCACACGGGTGGGCGTGTGCACATGTGCCTAGTGGCATCGCAGTGCCATTGCGGGAGCGCATGCCCCGTGCTGCTACGCTCCCTCGGAGGAGAGGGGGGCACATGACAGTGGCATTGTGAAGAGGTGCTCGTTTGTATGGTTAGTTTTTTAGCACTGATTTTGGCCCTTTAAAGAATTAAGCTTATGCTAACGGGATATTTTGCCAATGTAGGAAGAGGTGTGGAATAAATGAGGTGGTGTGACAGGTACAGACCTGGCCCTTAGGTGAGGGCCTGAACTGGAGAGTGAATGTCCATCCCCCACTAGACCCGCCTTCACAAAGAGAGGGACACGGGCTTAGGTCACACCCTCCGCCTGTCCTGAGGGGCACCTCGGGGATATCTCTGGAATCTCAATAAATGAGATGAGGACAGCAAAAACTGAGGCAGATGGTGCTGGCAGACGCCACTAAGTCATCCTTCCACTGGGACACCCACTTTCTCTCTCACCTACCTGCCCCAGAGTAGAGGGACTCCCAGGGTGACATGCTGCCATGAATGAGCCACTCCCAATCGCAGCCAGGCCACACACCAGCCACACCGACCTCGGTGCAAGTCTTACCCAAAGCCTGTGCCAATTGCACCCAGGAATGTTGGAGCAAGCCACGGGCACGCTGCAGAGCACAAGGCAGGGTTCACACTGCTGGGAGCAACAAGGCCACCCGAGGGCAAGGTCGCTGGGTTCCCAGGAGGCCAGGGGAGGCTGTGCAGATGGGTCCTGGGGTCTGTAGACCTGGCAGGACTGCAAATACCCACAGCTTTAGGAATAGAGTCAGAGGTGAAGGATCTGGAGGAGCCTGTCTGCTTTCCTTGATCACATCCGAGTCCATCACAGTTCCCACGCACGTTGACGGCAGTGCCACCTGCTGCCCACGCCACACCATCCCTCCAGGGTGCGCACAGGGCCCTGAGAGCTAATTGCTTCCGCGCTCCTCTCTCCGCAGGCCTTGTCTGTGGGCATTTTCCCCTACGTGCTGAAACTGCTGCAGAGCTCAGCCCGAGAGCTTCGGCCTCTTCTTGTTTTCATCTGGGCCAAGATCCTTGCCGTGGACAGTGTGAGTAACCTGTGTGTCCTCCTCATGGGACACGTGCTCCCTGTGTGTGGGCCGGGCCACAGTGTCCTTGAACCCAGGCCACCTGGCCCTCGGGAGTGGCTGCCAGGAGTGGCAGGGGCTGCAGGGGCAGTGGGGGGCTGACCGTCGAGGTAGGGCCTCTCCTTCCCCGTCTCCCCAGGCCTCCCACCCTTTGCCTGGCACCGCTGGCTGCTTCCTCTCTTCTGGGTAAAGGAGATGCTTCCCTCCAGGCCGATCCCCGTCTCTCTCGCCCCGCCCATTGTGAGCTGCGGGCTCGCTCGTGCCCTGCCTCCTGCCCGTCCCCAGCCACCCCACGAGCCAGCCCACTTCCCTCTTGGAACTCCCCCCTGCTGCACCCCGGTCCCCATCGGGCCTGTCTGCCACAGCGCGTGCTTCTCTCTCCCCACCGGGAGCGCGGGAACAGCCCCATGGACACACAGCCTGTCACTTGGAGGGCTGAGCCCTGGGCACACCAGCAGTCACTTCCCAGTGAGACTTTCCCACCGTCCCCTCCCCCTCGGCTCTGCAGTGACCATCCCCGTGAGTCCTCGCGTCTGCCTGCTGGGCACAGGCGCCACCAAGGTCAGCCTGATAGGCTCGCTGTCCTGTGGGGTCAAAACCCTCTGCTGGGAGGCACATGCACGGAGGTGTCATTTCACAAAGGGGAGGCCCTGGGCAGCCCCGGTGCCCGACTCAGGAGTGTGAGGGGTGGGCAGTGTGGCCCGTGCGGTTGGGGGGCCGGCTGTGGGGCGAGCATTCAGAGGCCACCTGGGAGGGGACCCGCCGCCTGGAGACCCCGACCAGGGCCTTGGCCCCCCACTGGGATGGCGGGGCTGGGAGGGCTGGGGTGGAAGTTGCTGGAGCGCCTCCCCGGGGGTGGGGGAGGGCAGGCTGGAGGAGCGCTGCTCAGAGCAGGAGGAGCTTCCAGGGCGAGGGCGCCCTGAACGGGGCACCCAGCGGCAGGGGACAGATGCGCAGAGGCCGTCCCGTTTGGCGGCCAGCACTGGAAGAGCACGTGTGGCCGTAGAGGTAGGAACCCCGCTGGGCAGGGAAGCAGAGGGCAAAGCGAATTGGCACCAGGAAAAGGCCGGCGGCTTTGCTTGTTTTAGAGCAAAATGTGGCCTAAACCATCTGAACACAGGAGAAAAGAATCATGTTTAAAATTGAACTCAGGCTGCCCTCCTGCACGCGTGCGTGTGCCCGCTGCGTGTGCGGGGCGATGCCAGGTGTCGGGCTCTGGTTTGGCCTCAATGGCTGCGTGTTTTGCAGTTTGCTCTCAGGTGAGGAAATGCCCACTTGAGTGAGGGGCTAGGATCGCGCAGCTCATCACACACCGGTGGGAAGGCCGCTGGAAGGCAAGGCCGTCGCTTCTGCACAAGGAGCGTGGGAGTGGGGGCATAGCGCCAGTCCCTGTGCCCGTGCCTGCCCCCAGTCCCTCTCCAGAGCCTCTTCATGCTCCGCAGCCCATCCCCTTCCCTCCCTTCAGCAAATTCCCACCCTCCGGTGCTGGCTGGCCTGGAGGTGACAGTGAATTGGGCAGGCCCTCCAAGCCTGGCCCTGTTCCCACCCATCCGCCCCTCCATCAGCCTGGCACTGGGGTGGAAAAAGCCTCCGGGATGCCTCTCACTCAGGCCCCGCTGACAAGCCCCTGCTGCTTCTGAGCTTCCCGCTGCCCACCCAGTGAGTTTCCCACACGAATCCAGATCCTCCTCTCCACTGGGCACTGTGGCGGCCAGGGTGCTCCCAGAAGGCACAGCTCTGCCCTTCTGCAGGGAAGACTGGCCGTAACGACAGTGTCATGGTGTTTGGGGGCCTCGCTGTGTGTTCGCTGCAGCCTTGCTGACTCGCATGGCTCAGGGCTGGTGGTAGGTTGTTCGGCGTTTCCACGCAGCGGCTCTTATTGTCTGCAGACAGCCAGCCTGTTGGCCTCCGGCTGGGGGTCTCATGCTCCTGGTCCAGTGGAGCCAACCAGGACCGTCCCACCCTGTTGAGTGATCTGTGCATCCTTGTATGTTCCCGGTGTTCGTGATCCTGATGCTGGGAACAGCCTCCTCTCTCCTCAGGGCGCCCGAGGCTAACCGTGAGCTCAGCACCCTTAACCCTTCTTGGTCCTGGCGCCTTGTGCACAGCTGTGTCCAGTGGGAGGCCTCTTGCTTGTTACTCATAACGGTGGCAGAATATTACACATTTCAGTAAAAAGCATACTTCCTATCCACTGAACTACCTTTGCATAAACAATGGCTTCCCTAAAAGATAGGCCAGAATCTGGGTTTAAGAGTTGAAAGACTAAATTTGAGTCCTGTCACACTCATTTCCTTAAGCAAGCCACTCCCACCTCCCACAGCCACCACCTCTCTCTGTAAAACTGTGCCCCCAGTGTCTCCCGCTGCAGCTACAGAAATCAGAGCCACGACCTGAGGCCCCTTGGATGCTGCAGAGGAGAGGGGGTCAAGGGTAAAGCTCGCGTCTGCCCAGCCCGCCTCCTCGCGGTGAAGCCTCTGACCGCCCGAAAGCTCGGCCGCCTGGGCCAGGCACCTGCCCCTGCTGTCATTCTGTTTGCTGATTTTACTGAAGAGCCAAGGTGTGTGAACAAAAGGGCTCTTCTCGGAAAATCGTTGTGAACCTGTTTCTCCTACCTCAGTACCTTTGTCATCTGTGTGCCCGTTGGGAAACTGACTGGCACTGTTACCTGGCCGGTGAGGACCATGCATAGAGGTTGCTGGATGCATAAGGCAGGGTGCCAGACTCAAGGCAAAGCCTGGCTACACGGAGGGAAGAAATGAAGACGCCACCCGCAGAAGTGGGCTGCTGTAGGCCCCCTGACACTGCCTCCCCAGGGCCAGGCCTGCATGGGCACGCTGAAGCCAGGCTCAGGGCTGGTGGTAGTATGGAGTCCCATACTTTCGGTGTTTTCAGTACCTGCAGACACCTGCAGACAGGCTGGGTCTTTGTTTTCAGGCCCAGAGGTGGCTATTTCTGCATTAATTTTTTCTTCCCATGGAAGTGGTGGCCCCTCTGAATGCACTTGGTTTGCTGTCACCTTCTCATTCTCATGGAGCTTACACTTGATCATCACATTTCAGTATAAGGAATCTTGTTTAAAACCACCTCTTGGTCACATTTATCTCCAAGGGGCCTGTTTATCTCTAGAGCTTGAAATGGGAGGGCTCAGTTTGGGCACGGATACTGTGGGGTGCCTTCTCTGCACCCTGCCATAGGAAAAGCTCAGGGCCGTGGTCTTATAGCTGCAGGCTGCTCAAGGAGTTGCACGCTTAATAATGCTTGAGGCGGTGGTTCCTGCAGCCCAGCAGGAAATGCCCTAGCCTGCGATGTTCTTGTAAATGCCTGCCAGTGCCAGGGACCATTCTGTGCATTAATTTCTTACCCAGCTTGTTGCACGTATTGATTTCAAAGCAGTCATCCCACTGAGAGACGTTTTGAAATATTTCTGGTTGAGACTAGTATCACACATCTCATCCTTCCTTTTCACGCTCCCCCTCACCGTGGTTCCCAGAAACTAAGTCGTGCGCTTCTAGGGAGTTGTTCTTCCACTCTGTCTTCACATCTGGCCGGAAGTCCTGCTTCGTTGTTGCCTGGCCTCTGCGGCCAGCCTCTGTGTGCCCCGTGTGTGCGGCGTGTGCCTGGCTCCTGCAGAGCCCAGAGCTCCTGCAGTGAGTCCTCGGTATGGCCGCCATGAGGGTCAGCACATGTGTCATTTATAGACGGGTGCCTTTGTTAGATAAACCCCTGTGTGGAGGCACAGACCGAGGCCTGCCGGTGCCCCCGTGTCCCAGCTCTCGCTGTACTGGGGAGCTGCCCGGTTCTCGGTTCTTCGAGAGCTGCAAAGCAGCGGCCCCATCAGGCTGGACCCCTCTCATACCGTAGTGAGTGCCGAGTGCCCTCTGTGTGCCATCGTATGAAGGGCTCCCGACATTCAGTGGTGGTAGGAGTTACTTCGGTCTTGAAGAACTAGGCTGTGCCTGGGAAGAAGGAAGGAGGGGACTTCTAAGAAGAGGCTCAGGGGCAGAAGAAATTGATGCCCCTTGGCTGAGCAGGCAGTGTTCTGGGAGACACAGGTGTGACAGGGAAGGCCCAGCTCAGGACGAGGAAACCCAGTGACAGCACACGAGGAGACCTCTTCCCTGCTGTCTCAGAGGCCGATCTCCTCCAAGGAACTGGTCCCAGAAGGTTTCTGCCCAAGTCACCCTGTGCCATACTACTGCATACTTACTGTGCAAATCACCAGGCTTGTGAAGAAGAGAAGCATATGGCCCATAACAATGAGAAAAAAATCAGTCCATCAAAACCTATTGTGAACTCTCAGCGCTGTTCGAACACATTAAGTCTGGGACACATAAAATGTTCCACTGACATGTGGAAGATATTAAAAGGATGCAACTCAAACTTCCAGAGGTGAAAATTATAATATGTGACATGAGAAATAAACTGGATGGAATTAGCAGTTAAACATTGCAGAAGAAAAATAAGTGAACTTAAAGACATAGCAATAAAAACTCTCCAAAATGAAGAATGGTGAGAAAAGAAAATGTTTTTAAAAACTAGAGGAAGCATCGTTGAGCTTTGGAATAAGTCCAGGTCACGTAATACAGGCATATTTGGAGCCCCTAAAGGGGCTGGCAGAAAAAATATTTGAAGAAATAATGGCCAAGAAATTTTCAAATTTTCAAATTTGATGGAAACTATAAACCCACAGACTGAGGAAGTGCAATGAACTCCAAGCACAAGAAACATGAGGAAAACTCCAGTTGCTCTAAAAAACGATGACAAATTAAACAACCTAAGTGTCCATGGATGGGTGAATGGACACAGAAAATGTGATACACACACACACACACACACACACACACACAGAGGAATGTGATTCATCCATAAAAAAGACAAGCCTGCCATTGTGACAACATGGTTGAACCTGGAGGACTTTATGCCACGTGAGGTAAGCCAGTCGGAGAAGGATAAATACT